CCTTGACACCCATATGTTATTATAATAAGCTATTGTTGGTGCAGGCAAAGAATCATTTTGTTTTTGGTTCCTCCCTCCTTTTACAGGTTGGAATGAAACTGCGATACAGATAAATGTTTTCAAGAATGAAGATAAACATCATACTTTCAAAACAGTTATACAACAATTGAGAATCATTCAAGACTAATTGTTCCTATGCTGACCAAAAATGACATTGATAGTGAAAACATAGCTTACTTTTTGCAATATGCCAGCTGTCAAAGAAGTGTTGTACTGCTGGTTTTCCAATTTCTCTACAACGTGTCAGACAGTCCTCCTTCATCCATTTGGCTATTGATGAATGTCTGTCACTTATGAATGACTTTATGATCATTGCTGTGCCGAAAAGGAAAGTGAAGGCCTTTTGGAATGCTAGGAACTCCATGCCTGAGCTGCTGCCTGCCTGATTTGCCTGAAAGAGTTGAACAGAAATGCAATAATTTGTAGTCCAACTAAAAATAAATCAGAGTAATATTCATCTGGGATTTTCTACCTCTTTTAGAGGACCTGTGTATAAGACAATTTCTCGTGAAGTTGACATTCCTAATAAAAAAGAGATTTACCTTACTTATTTTGAGACGGACTCTCAAATTTATCAATATGTGATTCCAGAAAATATCCGTGCCTATTTTGTTTGACATAAAAGAATATAGGTTCTTACTGATGCGTTTTACTGTATTTTGTATAGTAACTTGAGTCTCTATATGTTATATGTGTAGGGAACAGCCCTAAGGCTGACAACAGGAGAAAATGGCGGCCATTTTTCGTACTCCGACAATTTTGGCCTTAGATGCTGTATTTTTCATGCAAAAAACTTGTTATTTAACACAAATTATGGCGGAAAGGTATGGAGAAGCTCCAATGATACAACAGATATGCAGTACAAATTTTCGAGCGGAATTAAACTCGGTTATCCATCTTCGTAGTGTTGGTCGCTTCGAGTCACATGAAGTGAGGTATCTCGTGGGGAGGATCAAGTGGTATCCAAATTCGACCTCCACATTTCAGCTAACTCGTGTGGCAATAAGCGGGGATGTGTCTCTGAACCCCGGGCCCTTGGCAAAGCCCAAGTGTGATGTGTGTTCAAGAACGCTGGCAAGAAATCATCGGGCTGTACTCTGTGATTGTTGTAAGGGGCTAAGTCACATAAAGTGTGCGAATGTGACACCCAGCAAGTACAAACGAATCCTGATTTGCCAAACAAGACTTGGGTCTGCTCAGCGTGTATGACTATCTCTATGCATAACGGTTTCCCCATTCATGGAATTGGAAACACCACTCTTGAAGATTTATTCATGAATGAACCAGCTGTCATGGATTAATACAGATCAGATTTGACTCTCAGGACCGTGATTTTGCAAGTTTTCTGAATGTTCGAGTGAAGTACAGCTCTAATTTCTTGATAGCACATTTGAATATCAACAGCTATCAGAATAAATTTGAAGAGATGAGGGAAATTATACAAAAGCTAAGAATTCAAGTGATTTTTCAAGTGATTCAAGTGAAACCAAAATTGACTCTTCCTATCCCAATGCACAATTTGCTATACCAGGGTACCAGCTTTACCAATGTGACAGGATGAAAGGAGGAGGTGGTCTCTTGGCTTATGCGTCATCTAACGTGATCTGCAAACGGTTAAAAGTTCCTGGCAGCTACAAAACTATTGAATCATTGGTTTTGGATGTTGAGCTCAAAGGGAGATGTGTAATTGTGGCTGGCTTGTATCGCCCTCCCAAACCTCTTGTCAGCAAGTATCAACTGCAACTGGAGGAGGAGATTAATCACTTTTGTAA